ACCTAGAACGGCATACATAAAAGGATGAACTGTAGAGAAGGGGGGGAGGAACAGAAAGACACAGCTTACAGGCCAGGGGATTATCTGTCCAGAGCAAGCAAGTGCACGGCAGATGGAGGCACAGCTTTCTTTTACATATAAATATATCTAGGCTTGGGGCATAGCACAGAAGCAGAACACTTGCCCAGCAGGCACCATGTAGGAGGTTCTGGGTCTGATTATCAGAACCAAAAAAGAAGAAAAAAAGAAAAAGAAAATGTGTCCAATAGTGGAGACACTGGTCATGTTAAATTTAAAATATTCCTTGTCTAGGGAATGCTCTACCCAGTCCAGAGTTTAGTCAGAAATGGTGTTTTGGTTGTACCAAACACGTCATGCTCTATCCTAGTTACAGAAGGACGTCTTGCTTTCTACAGGAACAATGAACTCGCTCTGAGTGAAAGGAGACAGACTCTCCATCATGGAAACTAGATGGGAAGGGACAAAAATGGTCTTAGTGCCTCGTCAGCACTTAAAAGGCAGGTTTCAGTTTTTTCAGTTTACCCTGGACCACTGGGTAAATCTTTATTGCCAAAAGAAAGCCAAGTAAACAGAAAAAGGAAAGATCTTTATCATCATAGTGGGACAAAATAGTTTTCTTTTTTCTCTTTCCTTTTTTCTTTACTAAACAAAACAGCATCAGCATACTGAACATCGTTTGAACCAATATGTGAAACTTGGTAATTGATATGAAATGAAGTTTTCAATGTCAGTTTAAGAAATATGCCAATATTTTACTGAAAATAAAAATACTTAAAATATTTCTATATAGGCAAAGAACCCTACAGAATATCATTTCAACTCATTATGCACCTCTAGTTTTTACATTGGTGGTAGCTGCTGGTCTTCCTTTTTGAAATGAATTTGTTTTACATCCCAACTGCAGTTTCCCCCACCTCCTCTCCTGCCACTTCTTCCTCTCACCTTTCCTCCAGCCCCCACTTCCTCTATTTCAGTTCTGAAAGGAGCAGGCCTCCCAGGGGTGTCAACAAAGCAAGGCATATCAAACTGCAGTAAGACCAAGCACCTCCCCTTCTATGAAGGCTGGGCACAGCAGTCCATTATGAGGACTAGTTCCTAAGAGCCAGCCACAGCATTAGGGACAACTACTGCTCCCACTGTTAGGAGTCCCACAAACAGAACAAACCACACAACTGTCACATAAATGTAGAGGGCCCTAGGCTGCTCCCATGCAGGATCCTTGGCTATTGGTTCAGACTCTCAGCTCCTAGGATCCAGGTTGTTTCTGTGGGTTTTCTTGTGATGTCCTTGACGCTGCTGATCTTTCAATGAGATAGAAGACTATGAACTTACTCTTTCACGGTTCCACTTCAAAACTGGGTCTACTCTGAAATTCATACAAATTTAAGATCATCTCTATCTTGCATTAAATATTGTAACCATTAAGGCAGGATTTCAGGAAGAGATGTCCGGATGAAATACCCACAAAAAAAGTAAAAGAAAGCCACATATTTTCTCTGCTGAATATCCTCGCTTCAAATATTTGTGTTTAGCATGAGGAAGCTAGGAAACCAGAGACTGCCATTAATGGCAGGGCCATGAATCTAGGAAGGGGAAATAGTAAAATACAGGTGAAATGGAAAATAGAGAGGGGGGATATTGGGGAAAGAACAGCTCAAGCAGGTAGTGGAGTGAGAGGGATGGGAAATGAGGGTCCAGGGAAAGGCTTAACTGAAATGCTGCCTGTGTGACAAAGCTACTGGTGGAACTCATGATCTTATAACACAAGCAAAAAACCTAAGAGGAGATAGTAGAACATACATGTTCTGAAGGAACGAGGGAGAACAGCGGAAGCTAAAGGTGTGAGTGGGCACGGGGATGTGGTTGGTGTAAAGAAGAAGTAGGGTGGGCTAACTTTAATTATGGAGGTATGAAGAAACCGTAGGAAGCTCCACTAGTATAAAAGCTGATTAAAAATATTTTTAAAAGGAGTTTGAACAGAAGTACCCCATGTTAGTAAATAATGTTGCACTCCAAAGATACCAGTTATTAAGTGAAAATCTCAGTGCCAGGCATGAGTTACCTCCTCAGAGAACACCCAGAGGTACCGAAACAATACAGGCTACAGACAAAGTTCTTGTTTGTCTACTGTATCTAGAGGGTAAGATCTTATTGCTGGAGACACCACACGCTTGGTTATAGGACACAGAGAAATCAGCCTTGAGCTGATCAGAAAACTCTCCCCCTGGTTGGCTTTCACACAGCTGGAAGGTGCTATGCAGGCTGCTGGGGATGAAAAATTTAAGGGTTTCATCCATCGCTGGCCTCTGCCTGTTACCATATTGACCTTCTAGGCAAGATGCACCCGCTGCTGCAATAGTGGCAAGGCAGTTAACGGGGTAACCAACTACTCTTTCGATTGGATTTGTGGTCTGCTCCTCAGGAGGGAATTCATGCCTGATACTGCAATCATGGTCAAAACCCAAGACTTGGGAAGTCATAGAGAAGAACCTATTGATAATTTTTTCTAAATAATCATGTTGTCAAACTGCCTTCTAAATACCAGAGGATGTGGAGGAGTGCTCCAAGTATTGTCTTCTGGGCATGACATGGCTGTCGCACACATGAACTCACAGCAGCTGTGGTCACCTACGCAAGACCTGCACAATGTCAAGCCAGTTAAAATTGCCAGCATAGAAGCAAAAGGTTCCACCCCTCCCCCAGTTGAGGAATTACTGGCTGCTGGAAGGAGAGTCACTTTTCTTTTTTTTAATGAGTATTGCTCCTGGTAGGTTTCTCATGCTCCCCCTCCATGTCCACACACATATGAACATATATATAGTTCATATAGTTGGAGCGCTAATCCAACTCAGTGGGTTAAAAGCAAATAAAAATTATAAAAGAGAACATGAAGTTGGGAAAAAGATGTGATGGGAGGGTTCTGAGAGGTGGATATAATCAAAACATACTGTATACATGTATGAAGTTTTCAAAGAATCAATCAAAATAAAAATTGAGAACAAGCAACACCTGCCTAAGAGCCCCAATCTTAAAAAAAAGAAAAAGAAAAGAAATAAGGAGGGGGATCTTGAGAGAGAGAGAGAGCTCCATCATGAAGCACTCAATTTGCAAACACAAGCACCTGAGTTCTAGACTCACATAAAAAAGTCAGGCATAATGGTGCATGATTATAATTCCAGCACTGGGGAAGATCCAGTGGATCACTGGAGCTCACTGGCTAGCAACTCTAGCTCAATTGGCAAGCTCTAGGTCCCGATGAGAGACTTGGTCTCAAAAGATTCTGCGGAATGATACCTAACATTGACCTCTGGCTTTGGTATGCATACACGTACATGTGTACCTGAACACATGTGCGCTAGCACATACACACCGAAAAGGAGGTAAAACAATCAAAACTGAAACTCTGTGATGATTTAACTATAGTACAATACGTTCTGAATTTAATGGTGTTTGTAAGTTATAATGTCAGAATTTGAAGTTAACATAGCCTGGTTCCATACTCCATTCAGTATGTGCAGTCTTTGAGATCAAGCTACTGCTTACATTTCTACACAGATAAATTGTGTACTTTACTGTCAATGTAAATGCATACACGTCTAGAGAAGCAACTTGGAGACTCTGACGAGAGACAGAACGGTAGCATTCTAATCCCGATTATTATAGCCACCCCTTTAATCTGTCAGAAACAGATCCCAAGACTCCCCCTGGATTCCTGAAGCCGGGGCTGTGACAAACCCTATATATTCTGTTCTCCTATATACATTCACATGTCATGGAATGATGAAGACACATTTAGAGAAATACATCATTAGACAATTTTGTTGGGCAAACATCAGAGAGGGAGCTCCCATAGATCTGGATGGCACAGGTCAGCCACCGAAAGAGGTTTGTTAAGGTACCCAAGACGCATGAGATTGGTATCAGTGTGGCAAGGCCACCCTTTCTTACAGCCAACTTCTATTTTGTCATAAATAGAAGGAATGCATTTTCAAACAGCTACCAGTAGTGTAATAGGTATACACACCAATAGTAGAACCCTTTGTATTCAAGCACCATGTACTGTGACTGTGTGTGCTCTCCTTCCACGCAACTGGCAGTGTAGTATGTTTTTTACAGTGGTATCACCACAAACACACAAGCAATGGTGTGATGGTGTAACAACACAGCTCCAACACCACACACACACAAGCAATGGTGTCAACAGTAGCGGGTGAGAGGAATTTTTAGCCATTACTATATTAGGCGACCACTCTCGTGTATGTAGTCTGACTGGACGACGGTTAGGCCCCGTGTGAATGTACATAGATCCTTACACATGAATAACCAAGACCAATGTATGGATTGGCACAGAAAGAGGTTAATGACAATGAACAGTAATTATGACAACAGTTATGAGTTACTTAAGAGTTATGAATTATTATTCGACTTTCCCTTCAGTATTTGTGGACCACACTTGACTGAGTAATTGAAACTGCAGAGAGGGAAGCTGAGGCCTAAGGGAACACTGTGTTAGATGAGCAAGTGTGGGAAAGTTACTCAAGCACTCTGAGTCTCAGCAAAAAGCAGACAACAGCCCTGTGTGCCATCTGCAGTAACGTTCTGCTGGTGTGGTCTGGAGGGAAATCAGCCATTCCCAGAGGAGGGGAGTAATGGAAACAGGCACGAGACGTCTGGAAGAAGTGTCTGGTGGATGCACACACTTGGGGGACTTGTCGGGAATGGCCTTCCTTTGCGGTCAATGGCCTCTTCCTGATCTGATGACCAGAGTGAGCTGGAGCAGGCTATGACTCTGGGGTCTAACACATTATTTTCACATACACTCTTTTGTTTGTTGGTTTGCTTGTTTTGTTTTTAACATCCTGTCCAGTCCTTTGCCAAAAGATTTAGAATACAGCGGTAAAAAGTATCATTATCCCAACTTCTAATTAGTAGATTTATCTTGAAATAATGTAGTATGCTTAGTTACTTTGCCTTCTTACCTTTTCAATTTTTTCATCCAGCATTCTGAAGAATTCTTGTTGGCTTTCAGAGATGTGCATGCTGCAAAACAAAGAACAGTAAGTACACACCTGAACCCTGCTCTCTCAAGTAAGCGATGGTGAACCCCTAATCTCGGGGCAGACAGTTGTTCATTACTGCAGACTTTCCTACTAAAATACCCCAAAGCTACTTTAGAACACACATCATCGCACTGATCTTGCAAACCTATTTCCTAAGTCTACAAAGGCTCATGACTTAAGCAACATAACTTCCACTCAATGTGTAGGGGCTACTTATATTGTTATCACTGGGTTGGGCCTGCCAATTTATTTCCTTCAAAAACACATGCGAGATTTTAAAAGAGCAAAGGACATGCAACATGGGGAATTTTCAGCCCTGTGTGTGACAGAGAAAATTATTCTCATTACACCGAAGCACGGATTTTACAGAGTTGTAGCACCGACATATCTAGTTGACTCTGAGTACAGGCTGAAGACACAAGAGCAGCGGACAGAACAATTGCCCGACATGGACGCTGACCAGTTCTGCACCGTTAATAACTAGAACGCCACTGGACTAGGGGCCAGTTAAGGGTGCCTAGGAGTCACCCTCACCCATGTGCTTCTTGTCCCATTCACTGCATCTGCTGAGCTGCTGTTGGGGTTAACCTGCAAGAAGGCGAAGAGAGTAGAGACCATAGATGGGAAAGGTGTGGCAGAATGGGTCTCAGTGCTAATGTGGCCCTAGCCTGATGCTATTTACTAATATTCCATGGAGGTAAAGGGCACTGGGTGAGAGAGACACATACTACATTGGTTGCAGTGTCTGGGGACAAGGGTGGAGGGCACGTATAGAATAATCTTTAAGTTAAGTGTAGGGAGAAGCCGACCTGTGTAGGCTTGACATTATTAGCATGACACATGGCGCTCCTCACACCTTAGAAACCCTTCAGGCTTTCTATGAGCTCCACTCCCAGGAGAAGCTCTCCGCTAGGTGTAAGGCCACGACTTAAAATCTGCGAGCGAATGGCAGCAGCTGTGCCATGAAAGGAAAACAAGGCAAACCCGTGACACCACTAATCAGTTCACAGTTGACAAAGCGCTTTCACACATAGCGTGTGATTTCGCCATCCTTTACGAAACCGCTCAAACAGGAAGATGTTCTGTTTGGGAATTGGACTCTCGTTCGTATGCAGTTCTGAAAGAGTCTGGGATGAAGCGAACGAACGAAGCAAACAGCCTTCTCTCCGCAGAATCTTGAGCAGAAAAGCCAGCGTGTACCCTGAGTTTTCCCAGCTTCTCCTGGCTCGACCTGCTCAAGGGTCAAAGCGTTTGTTCCCCTGAGCCCCTCTGGAGGCAGACCTGTCCTACCCTGTACACTTTTAATAGAGGGCCCACTATAAACAACCACAAATGTTCCCTTGCTGACTTCAGGCCATCCTGGTAGTCTTAAATCACCACACTCTTCTGCAATATTGTGACACTCAGCCATGAGCACAGATAGGGCTGGTCGGAGTCCATGAACCTGCGGCCCCAGGGCTTTAGTTCTGCATCTCATCTTGACACTGTTCTTTCTCTAGTGGTCTCTTGCTGGAGTGCTGTTGGTCCCTCTGCTATGTTCCCGGATGCTACTTTACTACAGGCTTCGGATCAGCATGGCCAAGCTTTTCCGCTATGTCTTCAGGGAGGGTGGGATTCCGAGGTTTCCTGAGGGTGCAGAGCGTGAGTCGCCTGACACCCATATTAGCTGCATGGACATACTTTGACTCTTCTTGTTCTTGGCCAGGTTCTCAACAACTGTAGGTCCCAGGTAGCAATTTTAAAATAGGTGGGTATCTTCATACAGATAACAAGTGCATTACCAACGAGTAACGATGTTGAATATTTTTTCCATTCCCATGTATATGTATGCGGTGGGCATACGTTTATGTATTTACGTTCACATTTATAGGTGCATGTGCACATGTGCGTGTGTGTGTGTGTGTCACCTCCTTAAGAATGTTTAAGAGACTCCATGAAAATGATGATTTTAGGCTTTGGTGTTCATGGCGCAAACTGCTGCTTGCAGTTCTTAGCTATATACACGTTGCATGCAACAGCAAGGCAACCAATGTTTGCTGATTATCTGATGGAGTGCTATTTAAATTCACGTGACTCTTGACCCCTCACCGCGGCAGTGTGGTTTGTCTCATGGCTGAGGTGCCTGGCCTCAGATGCCCCTTCCGACATCAGCAAGCCTTACTGCTAACCGTCTTCAGGTGTTGTTAATTCCCACTTGCGTCCCTATTTAATGACTACAACACGAGGACAGCCATGCCTGGTTAGCAGCCATACACAAGCACGGAGGACGAGGGAGGGCATCGTAACTCTGCCAAGTATGGCTGCCATCTCTGTGGTCGCAATGAACTTCTTACAGGTTCTGTGTCAGGAGCTTGAGACTGAAGGTGGAGGCCACTAGCCTAAGGATGTGTGTGGAGACACAGCACAAAAACCTCGGAGCTTTTAGCTTGTGTTGTCCGATGTCAGGGAAATGCTGCCTGCCACCTTGCCTGCCTGTCAGCCTTTCCATACCAGGCAGGTTCACTCTGGAAATACAGTATGCTTCCGGCCGTAGGTGGAATGGGGTGAATGGAAAGGGGGATGGTTACTATCAGAACCTCACGCATGACATAAGCTCCTTCAGATGAATGTTTCTGTTGGAGAGACAATGGCATGCTTCTCCAAAGGAGCAAATGCTCCCTCAAGGTCCTAGTTAGCCGTCTATCATCTCATTTAGTGGGTTATGAAAGACGAAGGCTCACTCTCTTTTCCCTGGGCTCATTCCAGAGGGAAGAAAGAAATCTTGTCAACACAGAATCTGATGAAACACATGCTTGCCCGGATGCACATGGACTCTCGCCTTACCACATGGAAATCCTTATCAACACAGTAGCACTGATATCAGAGTTCAAACTGCCCTGTGAGGAGCAGCTCCTCCCTGGGTACCAACACTATTCTAGGCATCTTCTTTTCCTGATGCACACCTGGAGGGCTGTGAGTTGGTTAGAGAGAGGGAAAAGCCACCGACTGTGTTATCTCTCCTCTCCACATACTCGAAAGGGACTACGGCTACATGGTACATGAGTTTATAAAGCAAGAAGCTACACAGTGGTATCTGCTTTAACTCACAAATCTCAGCAGCTACTGAGTGGGCACTACAAAGTTCTGTAAGACCAACTTGCACCCTGAGAGGTTTTTCTTTCTGCTGCTTCTCAGTTTCACATGTAAAGTGATCCAAGGAAGGAACGATGGGCAAAATGGGCTTCAGAAGTAAAGGCATTCAGCTTTCATTTTCAGTGACACATACAATCTCCAAATATGGAAAACTTCAGCCACAAAAATGTAAGGCAGTAATATGGTTTGGATCTGACAACGGCCTCCCAAAGGTAATGCCGTAAAGGCTTAGTACCCAGCAATGTTCAGAGGAACGGTGTCTGGGGGGCATCTGGATCATGAAGCTCATCACTGATGAATTCACTGACAGTTACACACAGCGGGTTACTGAGAGGTGGTGGGAACCTCAGCATGCGGGGCTTAGCTGGAGGATGCAGGCCAGTAGGGGCAGGCTCCTGAAGATGCATTTTGCCTCTGGCCCTTTACACATGTGCATTATCCCTGTCTCTGTCTCCTTGCTTCACTTTCCTGGCTGCCATGAGGTGCTTTGCTATATTATATGCTCCTGGCCATGATGTTTCTCCTTCACCAGAGGCCAAGAAACAACAAAGCAAGTGGCTATGAGCCAAAATAAACCTTCTGTTCTCCAGGTGCATCTTCTCAGGTGTTTGTCATAGCAAGGAAAACCTGGTTTATATAGGGGGCATCCTGTTTGTTTGTTTGCAACTTGACATAAGCTAGAATTATTCGAGAAGAGGGAACCACAACTGAGAAAATGCCTCCACAGGCTTGGCCTGTAGGCAGGCCTGTGGGACATTTTCTTTATTAGTGATTGATGTAGGAGGGCCCAGCCTATTGTGGAGGCGCCATCCCTGGGCAGGTGGTCCTGAATGGCATGGAAAAGCAGGCTGAACAAGCCAGTACGCAACGTTCTTCCACGGCTTCTGCTTCAGTTCCTGCTTCCAGGTTCCTGCCTTGGGTTCCTGCCCTGATTTCCCACAGAGTTGGACTATAAGCTATAAGATGAAATAATCTCTTCCCTAAGATGATTTTGGTTGTACTGGTTTATTATGGCAACAGAAACTTCACTAAGACAGGAGGCAAGACACTACCTTCTTAATGTTCTCCCTTTGAAGGTACAAAGTACCATCTCCAAATACTGCCTCTCCTTGCTCAATTTACCAACACTGAGGTTTTCAACAGCTCTGGGCCTTCATTTTTCTATAGAGCTTCCCAGCACTGATATACTTTTCTTGTTTATCTACCTTGTAACAATTTAATCCTCAGGTCCAGATGGAAACCCAAGTGGACAGAGACTCGACTTGGTCTGCCTCCACACCTGCACACATCAAATTCGACCACCGACTGGGTTCCTCTTAATCTGACCCTGCTTGGCTTTTTCTTAATGATCATCAGCCACTTCCAAGTGAGCTTTGGGGCAGAAGACTCACTCTGGCCTTTCTGATACACTCTCAGTGGTAGTTTATACATAGCTGCTTCTATTTGCTTAATTATTTTGTTTGAAATAAAAAACAAACCCAATATAAGCAACTGTGAAACTCAAACCAAAACTAATTACTACAACCTCAATTACAAGCTATAACTGACCCAAGGTTAGTTCCCAACTGTGTGTCCCTCTGCCCCAGGGAATCATTTCTTGCCTTTTATCTTGCAGTGCCTCTGAATGTGATAAAAACATTCAGTTATCTATTTTGTTTGTATTTTTAAAGTCTATAGAGTGCAACAAGCTCTATGTAACTAATGCAGGATTGATAATCAAATTATCAGGATTCACGCAGCATTGTGCACCACTGTAGAAACTTGGCTAAACTGCTGGCCAATCTTTCATTGCGTAAACATCCTATATTTCATTTACACAGCCCCATTTAAGGGCAATTATCTTTTTTCCCCTAATTCTCAAGGCACTCTAAGTATACAAGATTCCATTTGCAACTTAAAATACACACACACACAATACACTCTCTCTCTCTCCCTTACACACATGCAAGCACACACACACTCTCTCCCTTACACACATGCAAACACACACACACACACTCCCTTACATACATGCAAACACACACACACACAC